CCTTATCTCTTATCCACCTGACTACACACTTGCCGATTTTCTGGCCGTTCGCCGATTTTCTGCACATGTTTGTTTTTTTTTTCTTTGATACTATTCTAAAAGTAATCCATCTGCTTTAATTTCTCTTTTCTATGCTTCATCTTGGTATTCCTTTTGAGGAATTCAAATCTTTATCATTTTTTTTATGTTGGCTTCTGTTTTCATGAAATGCATTGAGACTTCTGATGTTGAGGATTTTCCGCTGTAGTTTAAACAGGCACCTGTGATTCACATAGAAACTTACCTTGTTCCGGCGAGAACCATTAAACAAGTTAGTCTTTGTTCCGGAAGATTAGACGGGGACTGGAAAAAATTGTGGAAGGGATAACCGATAACTAGGAAGTTATAGTAAGTGTTGTAAAGCAACTTTAGAGTAATGGACGGTAGTTGAATCTTGAGAGTACTTGTTCTTTCTCGTAGTTAAGATTTGTGCAGTGTTAACAGTGAAAGAGAACAGCTAGTCCTTAACTAGTGTTTATCCTTGTTACTACAGCAATAATTATGACTTGGATGTTCTTCTTTCTAGGATTATTTTTTAAAGCACTTTAGTAGCAGTTGAAATTTCAAAGTAACGTTACTTCAATATTCTTTTACACTGTCTTATCCCATTGCTGTCGGTTTTTATTGATAGATATGAGTTTTGATAACGATTTAATTTCACTGGTCAATCGTTTTCCTCTGACCATGCCAAGGTGGATATCCCTGATGGCAAAGTTAAAGTTCCTCTGGGGTTTCGCCTTTCGTGGCTTATTCAACAGGTAACGGTAAAACTAAAGCAGGTGCCTTGGAAAAAACCAGTCACAAAACAGCAAACCTACGGACCCACAAATGCAAGCAACTTGTCCGTACTAACAACCTAGTAGTGTCTTGACATTTCTCTCTAGAATCTGGTAAAAACACCTCTACAAAAAAGTAACGACGAATTGAATTGAAATTATGCATTGGTGTGTAATATTCGTAAACACAGACAGTTGACCAGACCATATAACTTCGAATTGTTCAATAAACCGGATGAAGTCGAAAACTAGGCAACGGGGATTTGATTTCATGTAATCGAATGCCCTCCTCCTCCTTCCCCTCTCCCTCCAATTTCGGTAATGATTCACCAAAAAACCACAAATATTCTTTGATGGTGATATCATTTGAAGTCGAAAGTATTGTATGCTATCTTCTTTTGATGGAATTTTTTAAAACCGTCTGTGGTCTATGGAAGATTTCATCCTGTCTGTTGATCGTTTCATGAAGTCTTTCTATATTAAGCGACATATTCAGTCGTTTTTTTTTTTGAAATCAACCTCAGTTCCACTGAATTGGAAATCCAAACTTCACTAGCGAGACTTCCTTGGCGAATTCTTCGGCTAGGCTTTCGGTTTTCCACGACGCTTTGTGAGTGTTTCATGAGCGATCGGCATCGCTCCCGCATCACTTACGATGTCACCGTTTCAAAGAACCCGCATTCTACGGTTCGCAATTTTATCTTCGGGTTTCAGTGAAAGAAAGTGACTGACATTGGCCGATAAGCGAATGATTTTCACCACCATTACCACCCATCACCCAGTCCTCAGTGTTCTTTCATTACTTTCGTACAGCAAACCAAACACTTTTCATCTTGTTCGGATGCGATTGTGCGATCCGTTACCGTTTCGTATCGACAGCCACTCTTTGACTAGGTCTCAGTGTCTTATGATGCTTGACGTTCGCCTGCCCAACAATCTAGGGTGTTTGAGCTCAAATACTTTTTTACCATGATTACCAAAAATTATGCTAGGGCGGCCTTATGAGGGTTCCAGTCTAAGTTCTAACATTTCGCATTCCTCTAGTCAATGAAAGAAATAGAGAAATACAAGAAATATTTGACAATATTTTCTTACGAACGTTTAGAACATATTTTGATTTCAACTTTCTAGATGATGAGATGTTTTTGGAGAAGTATAAGCCTTTATTCATCACGTTCTGATAGTCATTATTAAACCCAGAGCAGAATAAAAAGTAGTTATTTTTGTTCTATAACTTAATCTATCTGTGGGCGGTCCTCATTCTTCTGTATACTACTGGATGATAGGTTTCAAAAATGATGTTTCGGAAATTTTGCATTTCTTCTAATGTTACTGCTAACAATTTCTTTACACTGTATACTGTGTCTGGTCTAACAATCTTCTTCACCATCAGCTCTTCTAGACTTACTTCGGACTTTCTCAGTCGCTTACATAGACCATATCCGTGCATTTCCAGATTCTTCTGCACTGTTTCCTAAAAGTTCCTGGTCATCGTTTTAGACAAAGATGGCAGTGACCGAGGATAACGCTTTAACTAGTCTGCATCAATTTATTGCTGCCACTCAGGTATAATTCTACAGCTGTCCGTAGTTCTTATCGATTTGAGTAATATAACTTGAAAGTGTTAACATTTTAGCCTTTACAAAGATCTCCTGATAAAATACCGTTAATGGATGATATCATGGGTGCTATGCTTCAACAAATTCCAACATTCAACTATCCGGTATGTTTAAGATCAAGCTCAACTAAGTAAATCATCCATAACAGTTAATTCATGTGTTTAATATAAGGTGCTTAATATAAGGTGTTATAGTAAGGTTTGTACGATAGTAAACGGTATCCTATTCCGTCCTTGCTGAAATGCTGTTGGCAGGTGCATGCGTAGCACACTGCTTAGAGGTGCCTTACAATAAACTAGTGTTTGTTGTGTCGACACCACTCTCCGGATTAACCAAACTCCCATCCCTACGTGGTTGTAATGTTGTTACCAGTTTTGTATTACAGATAAAATCACTGAACTAGCTATCGATAGGGACCTCAAATAATTTACTGAACCACTTGTGCATTCACTTATCTTCTGTGATATTGCGAATGGAGACGAATGCATAGCGCATTCTTAAGGGAGGGATGAACGCAGAGCTGGTTACCATTTCGTCTTTTATCCTATTAGTCTTTGCTTTGATAATTAAATATTTGCTTCCTTAATCAATCAGTAAGATCTTTTTGTGATATATTTAAGTATTTGACGTTACATCGTTTTTAAGCCTCTTCATTACCATCGATCTTCGTCTACAGTATGACATATTACTCGTGTTACCTTATCCTACAGAGGATCCTTTGTTTTGTAATAAATAAATATAAGCTTCGTTCACAGGTTTTGGTTGTTACAAAAGTAACTGTTAATAGTGATAACTTTAGAAAACATCCATAGTTTTGTGACTAACATTCCCAGAGAATCCTCTACGGGACTTTTGTTTAAAATATGGTTTGTTTATTTCATATACTTTTTTATTTCATCTTATGTGACCCATCATCACGACTACTGTGTGGATTCCAGCACTTCTCACATTCGATACGTTTCCTCGCATCCATTGTTCACGAAGATCTTCCAACTTCACGTGTGACTTCGGTTGCTGCTTGAGGATTTTCATTTCGTCTTAGGTGTCGTAGAATGCTGGTTAAGCAATTCTCCTTGAAGTCCTTATCTAACCGGGCTGGAGCGTTACCAATTGGATTGCAGAGAGCGATTTTTGTCCATACAAGTCCGGTACCAATTTCCCGACCCCGACCCCGGAGGGATGAGAGGCTTGGTTAGTCTGAAGTGAAATCGAACTAGCACATGCTCGTGATGGCGAGCATCACTACCACTATGCTATCCGCCCCTTGATTTGATATATAATAATACAAGTGATAGGAATAGCAAAATTAGTGCTCGCCGTCATTTTTATGTCTTTATGATTACTTAGTCTTGTTTTCAGTCTAAAATTCATATAATAATTACATAGAGACAGATCAATACTATGACTTAATTCTCAAGTTAAAGTCGACATTTCAATTTTCCTTATCATTTCTCTCTTTGTGATTAGTAAGTATAGGAGATTACCATAGCTACGCAACATTTCATTCTACCTTTTTGACGCTTTCACCACATTCGGGAGCCGAATATTTTTCGAATATTCGAGCTTTGTGGTGTTTATTCGGACCGAGTACAAGTATAACATACACTCTAATACGTTGTTGGATTATGGAAGCCGAAGGAACAGAAAGAAATCGTTGTAAAAATTTTTTATGAACATCGTAGGAAAGATTACCTGCGTTGTAAGGTTATACGAAAGATTGTCTGCTGATGGATCCGTCAATGTTAAATATATTGTAATGAGGAGATTTTAGTCGATTAGAGGTTATTTGTTGCTTCAAAAATGGCTGTTAGAGTCTGTTTTTGATGAACGGATAGTCACGAGGTTGTATGTTGCGCAAGAGGACAAAAACTGAAGGAGAAATTTTTGTCAATGGCAACGAGAAAGATGAAGACGTTATCACATCCCTATAGTAGTCATTCTTCTCCATTACAGATCACATTGTTGGAAGTCTGACCTCATTCAGAAGGAAAGCTATGTAAAATGACCATCTACGAATGAAGATCATCGTCCTGAGACCATTTTCTGGATAACCCAGGGCAATGAGTTCTTTGAAACTGCGCCAAAGATCTGATATATGGTTAATTATTGGTGTAATAGTTGAAGATTGTTTTGCATTCTCGAATAAACCATAAAGTATGGAACGCAATCGATTCAAAATTCCATTTGTCTGCTCAAATAATCTCTCATACTCTTAGATAAGAGTGACTTGTTGACTAAGTGTTTCGAAAATACGGGTAGTAAAGTGTTAATCGAACTGGTTTAAAATATTCACTGGGGTTTACTTGCATGGTTTATTGTTGCAAGGAAGTTGTTTCTCTTCCGAAATCCTAGTATCATTTTCTTATTACTGATTCTGGTAACAGTGGTAATAATGAACAGATTTGAACTTTGAATCGACTTAAATATTTCCTTCTATCAGCCTGATTAGTTTTCACTGTAGTTTTCAGAAGATAAGTTCTTAAAATCCTAAAAACTAAACAAGATAGTTATCTAGTTGCTTCAGACGCCTGTCGATGCAAAACCGGCTGGCTCGTCGGATAGTGACACTCCTCGCAACCAGAGTCCGAATAGTGACGGTCAGACCGAAACCCAACCAGCATTTAGCGGCAAGGAACCTAGGTATTGAATTATAGGTTTTGTTAAGTAATATTGACTTGGTGGCTATATTCTTTATGTAAAGCTACCAACATTAAAGAAAGTAAAGCTAAAGTACTAGTGCTCAAGATGTAACAAGCACATTGAGTCCAAACGTTGTGCTTTCTCCAACAGCTTTACTGTTTTCACCTTTACGTCAGTGGTTCACTTGTATAAGTGTTTTTCCACTTTTATATGACCAGAATATGTCTACTTGCCTTTCCGACATATTTGTTGATGCTCCCAAGCGATTTGATTGGCATGAGACCCAAAAAATGGGACGATTGACCATGAGATTTTATCAACTTTTTTGTATACGTATTTTCATCTCAGATAACTCATTAATACCAGAGGATTAATTCAGAATGTAGAGAATATTGCACATAGTTTAGGCCTTACCGTCAGGAACCATGGCACGAATGCTTCACTACCTTACACAAAGCAGAATTCGATGCGTTGATTTACTCCTTGTATGTAATGATGAGGGACGATAAGAAATTGGATGGATATGAATAGTAAGTTAATAGCAAAGTTCCGTTGGCGGTAAAGAAGTCGAAAACTGAAATAAATTCACTGAAAGAAAGATATTGAACGGCGGCGATTTATACTTCCTTCACTATGTAACAGCACTTTAATCGAACGTACACCAAAGTGTTGGCCATGGCTGTTCAAAAAGTAAGAACAGCTTTGTGTTATGATGTAAATAAGTTTCATTAGGTTTTCGGGAATCATTTATAAAAGTGACCATCAGGAAACACGTGCCTTTGGAGATAGAATGATTTACTTAACATCGATTCACCATGGACTCTGATGAATCTGGTAAAGTTGTCGCTGTCAGTGCATAGGAATCACTTCTGATTCGATACAAGAATTTCTGATGGGTCGCACTGGAGATGACTACCTCAGTTCTCTCCTTCAAACCATACCCACAACCTTCAGTAGCTATCGAGAGGAAATTTTCCATCACATGAACTGAAACTGGACCTATACGAAACGGAGACTTCTCTGCTATTAATGGGATTTAGAAAAAAAGATATTGTACTATGAATTTGTACTATGCGATATGAACGTAATGGCAAATGCCTGGGTCTTGAACTTCAGCAATTCGTAGCGCTGTAATTAATAACTATGGTTTGACATCTGCGTTTAAAACACTCATCTTCGGAAGAGTTTTCCACAAAAAACTGTTCTATTTCTTATCTTAGTACAATAAAATTAGAATTTTTCGCAGCAAAGTTGAATGTGAGTCAATAATTCGGAAATCGGAAGCAGCGGTTGCGCACATTACTGATGCCCCTCAATAAGCGCAACGTCCTAGTTCAACCCCGCCGTGGGTCAGCTGTTCACTGTGTTGCATGAGTTCGTCTGAAATAAGTTAGAATAATAAAGTCCAGATAAAATCACGGTACCTGATTTGAAGCCACACTTTTCTTAGTGGTGTTAGAGTTGTGTAGTTTAAAAATCTGCACTTATGGATAATCTGCACATATGGCACTTATGGCGATCTACTTTGAAATTTTCAGTATCAAGTATTTAGAGTTTCTGGTTTCTTTAGAAATTATGTCCAGCATAAAAACAGAGGACAGTGTCCCTTATTATTCAAATGCTATAAGGCTCCTTTTCTCTAAATATTCGATAGCCATTCATTCTATCGATAATCCCTTATCGTCTTCATCATTTGCAGAATAACCATTTATACTTTGATAGTAACGCAATGTTGAGTGCTTTCTTAGGTAACACTTAGTTGCTCTCATTAATCGTTAATAAGTGAACACTTAAATTATTTAGCGTTTATTTGACTTTTATTGATTCTTCAGTTACGAGTGCATTAATCGCTTACAAAGCAAATGTCGTTATCGAGTAAGGGCCAGAAGAATGAACGAATTCATTATTGTGGAAGAGCGAGGTGCTCACAATCATGCAATGGAGCCAGTTGGAACACCGGGCACTCATGCTGGATTGCCAAAGTTGGTGTCGTCAATGACTTTTATTCACTTTTTTATTAATGTAATCATATCTTTGTGGTGCATCTCCTATTCTTTGAACTGGGTCGGCTAACTTTAAAGGAAACGTTCATGTCTGACAGAAATCATTAAAAACTTGTAACCTGAAACGAAAACACGAGCAACTTTGTAGATAACCGCAGTATATTTTGAGTGTAGTTCTTTTCAGAACACTAAGAGAAATTGTTGATCGTTCTTTCTATGAGGATTGGAACAATGCTGTCCGACAAGAAAAACTTGAAGAGGAGGTAACACACTTTAATATTAACGTCTTACTTGCTCTTGTCCTCTTCTTCTCTTGTTCTCTCGTACTCTCGTTCATTTGTTCTCTCGTTCTCTTCTTCGTCCTTTCTCTCTTTTCCTCTCCTCATGTCCACTTATTTTCCGATTCTCTTATTTTCTTTCTTTTTCCCTCTTTTTCCCTTATTCTCTTGTTCACTCGTTCCCGCCATTCTGTTGTTCTCTCGTTCTTCTGTCCCTTCTTTCTTCCCTTCTCATCTTCTCTCGTTCCCTTGTTTTCTGGTTTTCTTTTCCTCTCATTCTGTTGCTGCCTCGTTCTCTTCCGCCTTCTTCTTCTAGTGCTCTTGATCTGTTGTTCACTCGTTCTCTCGCTCTTTGGCTCTCTTCCTGTCTTGTTCACTTTTTCCTTCATTCTCTTTTTCTCCTCTTCCCCTAGCCCTCTCTTTTTTTCATCCCCTTGTCCTATCGTTCTCTTATTCTTTCTTGCTCTTCCTCTCTCCTTGTGTCCTTTTCTTCTTCTCTCATTCTCTTGCTCTTATTCTATCGTTCTTTTTCATTACCTTGTCGCTTTCACTTATCACTTTTCCTCTCGATTTCACAGAAACTCTATTTTTCAATGCATATACTATCCGTTGGCTTTACTCCGCATTATTAAAGAAGAGTCGTGCTACGTAAACAATTTTTTATACTTCTCGGTAAAACCTTCCTTACTCCAGCCTTTCTACCATATAGACCAATTCATACCTGTTTACTAGTTATGCAGACAAAAGACGTTCAAAAAATTCTTTAAGGTACGTCGTCTTGGTCTACCACATAATCCTCGTCTTGGCAGACAAGTGGATAATCGCATTGCATATCTAAGAAGGGTGAAAAATCTGAATGAAATGAAACGAATTCAGGATCAGGTAGAGTGGAACTCGTATTCGAATATTTGAAGGATTACAGTGTCACTACATTGCAACCAAATTAAGGTTGTGACTAAATTAAGTTTTATGCGACATAATTTCCTGATAGCTACGTAGCTAATCTTTCTCTCTAATTCAAGATGAAACAAGGAAAGGCTTCTCCAGTAGGTTTCAGCTGTAGTTCGTTAAGTTTTACTTAAGAGCAATAAGCTTCGCTTATATTTTATTTTTATTTCGATTTCGGATTTAATTCACAAGCCAGTATATGGGTAGCAAATGGAGTAATACATTTGAGCCAGATCGGGCCATAGCGTCGTCCTGCATGTCTTTAACGTATTCAAAAGTTTGTCGTTTATCGCATTTCCTTAGCGTTTAAAAAACTGAGAGAACTTTCTAAAGTGTTGTTTACATCCCATTCGTAAAGCGCATTTCTGGGATGTGTGTGCTCGTTTCATTCACGTGGAAAGCATCATTTGTCGATTCGTCCAGATGTGTTCTAAAAGAAAGAGCCGAATTGAGACCATCAATTTTATGATAGTAGAGAAGAAAAGGTCTGATCGTTGCAGGCGGTACCTCTTGCCAGTGGAGACACTATGAGTGATGTCGATGTATTAAAAGCAAACAATACCGCCGCCACTAAACCAACGGAACAAACGCCAAATTCTTCAGCAGCTATGGAAAGTACAGCTGAACTACTAAAGCTGATGATGCAGGTAAAAGGATAAAACATTTACCATGTTTAACGTTTTGTTTTCTGCCTTCTATAATTTTCATGGCAGGTTACTAAGCGAAATACAACCACAATGTTGCTGAGATATTTGCAAAAGTCTAGACCGCAGGTGTCTATGGTGGGGAACGAACGCGCTATTATCGTTTCCGGGGAGTAACGCGTTCACCACCACACCATGCGGGTTCTTTGTTTCGCACGTCTCTCAGCTATTTCTATCGATCTTTTTGCCACAGCAATCACCCGTCAGCGGGGTTGATCATTGATTTACCATTGATCATTTCCTTCAAAACGGCTATCTATTCGATTCCATTAGTAGAGGTAAATGAATGCATGTTTTTTCTAGACCATCACTTATGGGGATCTAGCGATGTATCTACTCAAAGTCATTACCCTTCCAGACAAGTTTTACATTGATTCGTATACTTCCCAAGGGTTTGAAGAGTTTCGTTTGCTCGAGGCGCTAGCTGGTACTGAAGGAATGTGTTGTGTTACTATGGAGTAAAATAAAAGTGAATAAAAAATCATAACAAAATTTCCACTCCAAAAACATGGGTGGTATAGAACTTCGAGTAAACCGGATTGAGCAAAGTTTTCATTGAATGAATTGACCAGGTGAAATTATTCATTTTATTCGGCTCTTCGAATTTCTGTATTCAGGAGATCTATGTTATTACTAGTTTATCCACTTAATCTGCCTAACCGAATAATTATAAGTGATCACCAAACATTGTTTATGTTATACAAGTTAATTCCTCCCAAAGGCTTACCGCGTCATCGTGACTGCGAGGTGTTCCAGGGTGTCGTGCTGCGATGCACAACGGGTGGTTTTATCCCCCCGGCAGAACTTCCCAAGCTAAAGAGTGGTCCGGCATTTCCATCAGGAGGCCCAACTAGGAGTAAACCACTACCAGTATTTACCACCTTCCCGGTACCAAACTAGTCGCATTTTGTCAAATCTTCTCCTGATCCATAAGGTCTGCCTGTGGTGATAACGACCTGGGGCGGACTTTATCCTAGCTGACCTCGGGACTCCAGAGTACCACAAGGCTTAACCAGCAAAACTCCAAAACAATGGAAATAATGCAGGAAGTCGCACAAGCAGTGGAGACGAGCCACTCAAGTATCCAAGTATACAAGTCTACTGCTTAGTGTACCGCTTGCAACAGCACCAATATTTCCATGCTTTTACTCGAAACCCACATTCAAGGAAGAAGTGACTCGAATTCTGTGGTGAATCTGATAAATTTTAGAATGTGATAAATTCTGGAGTAGTTTTAGAGCCTTTTTTGGAATAATTCACATGTATGACAACATTTTCTAGAGAAACATTTTTGTACCGAGCTGTATCAAATTCTTCTTTCTTCAGGGTGGCCAACTTCCAGAACTAACTCCAGAAATTCAAGCACAGTTGATAGCGTTGGTGATGGGAGGTGCGGGTCTCGTTCAACTGAATGAACAGACTCCAGACGAACAAGCTGCGCTATCAGCCATTATATCAGCATTGTCTACTGGTTCGAATATGCCTTTAATTCCACCGAATCCATTTATCAACAACGATTTATCGTCCATATCAACGAATTTACTTTCATCATCCGAAGTCTATTCAACAAACGACAATTCAAGCAGTAACAGTAAAGTGGATGATGTTGATGAAGTAGTTGGTATGGATGATGATGATGATTGTAGTACTGAAGATGATCAGCTGCAGATCGATAACGATTCATAACTGCTTTCAAACCCTAACAACCATATTGATTACGTCTCTGTGCAATGCTTATATTCTCTCAGCTTTCATGACATTAATAATAGCATCATCATCTCGTTTTTTATTTAATTTCCGACATTTTTACTTAAGTATGTACTAGTTTATTTTTTATTTTCTGTATATATTTTATAAGGGTCGTATTCACTCATCATTCATTACCCTCAATCGTGTTTCTCAAAGCCTTATCACTACGGGACCATAACTCAAGGCCTTTTCTGTCTCAATCTCTCCCATCTCTCATGTTAGTTGCTGTCACAAGTACTTCTTAAAGGTTGGAGTTCGATATACTGTAACCTACAGTATTTTAATGTATCATTGGTATGATAGTACATTCGAAAAATTCAAAACACGACACATGAGTGTTTGGATTTAATTCAAGAAAAAACGACAACAATTCGTATTAAGTCAAAGTTCTACGTATATTCTTTCACAAAAATGTTCCTTTTTCATAGTTGTATGCTGTTATCTGACAGAAAATCAATTGGTTGTTTCCTTCGTGCGGCGACTAAATGAAGAGTCGACTGCAATCACTTCAAAGTGAATTTGAATCCGTTCACAGTGAGAAGTCTTCTCTGATCATTAGGATGAAACCTCCTTTTCATTCTTCGATTTTGTCTAGAAGGCAGGGTGAAATTGCGTGAATATGAGCGGTTTGGATATGTTCTACGAATCGTGAGGGATTGTCGGATTTGGGTTGTTCGTTTACGCATTATTTTAAGATTTATCACCTAAGAGAATCCCGACCGAGTTCCTAAGTCTACGGCGATCTCTCGTTCGTTGTCGATGTTCATAACTCGTTGTGTGACATACAGAAAAAAATGGTTCGGAGCACCGACAACAAACCTAGAGAATTAGAAAACACATTAGACACTATTTACATAATTCTTCGTATTCTTGTTGAGCAAACGCGAGTTGTTATTTTCATTCTTTATTCACGAATAAGCTGACGTTTCGGCGGATTTCGCTTTCCTCAGAGCGTGGAAAGGTCAAGTTGACAGCAACCTATTCGGCCAGCCACCCCCATAACCAGACAAAGAAAACGCTAAACCAAGATTTCAATTGCATTGAACACAGCTGCACACTTACCGCTTTCTATAAGGAATCCCCTGAGTATGTCGCGCGAAGACCAACCGTACAGAAATCACATGGAAGAGTAATATGCCCCTCCCATCAGATTGATAGGCCTATATACTGCCCAATATCAAATCACGTGGAAGTATAATGTGCCCCTCACATCAGAAAAGCAGTTTTATATACTGCCCTATATCACGCGTGATAACGAGGCATTCTTCTCCGTAGTTCATTTTCAGGTTTCAGGAGTTAATCCAGAACCCCTCGAGAGTTTTGCGCGCTTGTGTTCTCGATTCCTGTGCGAGGATCGTGACACGTACTTCAAAAGGTATTTACTTCACGTTTGCCGACTAGGTGTTCTTTTATGCGGACACAGAAGGGTCTGCCCGTTTCGCCAGTGTATTCGTCTCCGCATGCCTTGCAGGAGATCAGATAAACCGTACCCGAGCTCATACAATTACCGTCTCCACCATTAGAGCAAATTATGCAATTTTGCGTTCCACATAGACGGTCATATAGGAGGTTACGAACTAACTGGCGCCTATGATTACTCGGTGGCATTTCAACTACGTTTACCGAATTCTCTAGGCCCGCCCTTCTTAAGCAGCGTTTTATAGCTGCACTTACATCATTTGAGATGAGGAGTGGGATAAACGGAACCTTCCTATCGCTAGAGTTCTCGTTTGGGGGCCTAGGATTTCCTCTACACCTACCGCGAGTTACAGTTTCGTAGCCATTAGGAATGGTTATTTGCCGTGCGATGTTCCGGGACTTCTGTCTCTGCTCTCTTCCCATGTACACACCGGTAGTTGTTCGAAAAATTTTTCTCACAAACGCCCTTTTCGTGTTAGAGGGTTGAGAGGAGAGCTAATGAACCAAGATGTTTTTACTACTTGGCTTTCGGTACCACTTCGTAATGCAGCCATTTTCTGACAGGTTAATTTGGACGTTCAGGAATGGAAGCCATTTTTCTTTCGGTTTCCCTCGGGCGAACTTGATATACTCTAAATGTTCGTTCAACAACTCGAAACATTTGTCCATTTCCTCCTGTGTTGAGCGAAAAACAAAACGGTTATCTATATATCTACAGTAGAGTAGCTGCCCGAAATCGGTCATCGGTGCCTTCACCTTCGACATAAACGCAACGGGAAGACTTGGTGCCAGTCGTTGTCCCATTGCCAACCCTTTTATTTGAGCGTAGTACTTTCCAGAACATCTGAAGATTGAGCAGCTCAAGCATTCCTTTAAGAGTGCCATCAGGTGCTCTATCCTGAAGCCATACATGTTTATTTCTCCTTCGTGTTGTATAAGGAGTTCGAATATGGCTTGCATTGTGGAGTCATTTGATACGTTTGCATAAAGCGCGGTAACGCCGAAGGACTCCATCACGTACGCGCTGCTGGGCTGCGCAGTACGTAGACGATCTAGAAACATCTGGTTATTCGTAAGATGGGCTGGAATGTGTTCCAACAACTGGTTAAATATTAGGGTTAAAAACCATGTTATCCTATCCGTTGGCCCGTTTACACAGTTAATGATAGGTCTAACCTTAAACAATGATGGATCGGTAGACGCAAGATCATCGCTGGATACTAACTTGTGAACTCTTTTATTTACTGCCTTTTTCTTTTTAATGGCATATTAGGGCTACCATTGAAAAAAAAAGGCAGTAAATAAAAGAGTTAAGATTGTGATTATAACTAAGCCTCAGCTTAACTGGGTTCAATGCCGATTCGGGCTTCCCAGATTAATCCCGTTGACGGGTGATTGCTGATGGCAAAAAGATCGACAGAACTAGCTGAGAGACAGGCAAAACGAAGAAACCGGATGGTGTGGTGGTGAAGTGCGCTGCTCCCAGGTAAGGACAACAGGGCGGGTTCGTTCCCTACCGCATGCACCTACGGTCCGGAATTTTGCAAATATCTCAGCATTATATACTAACTTGTGAGTTTTTATAAGCGAGTACAAGACGTGACATGTTGGTAAGTCAAGTTTTAGTTGAGGGATAACTGATGGTTTTAAACAAGCAGCGCTTGGCAATTGACCCATTTGTGATTTAATTTTCGGTATTTACTTTTAAACTCCTCAGATTATGGGCGATAAAGTGAAGCGTCCTCAAAATGCTTTTTCGTTATCTCAACATCTAACTGTTGGGGAATTACGGCAAACTCCCCACCCTTATCATTAACTGATAGCCTTATGTTTTTCAACCTTATCAGCTCTCGTACCTCTCGAATACGACGTCTTTTGCACTTCAGTGAGGTTGGAGCTGTACCTTTTCGCACGATGGTGATTAAGGACTTCGAGAGTTTTATTCGTTAACATCTGAAATTTAGCATCAACTTCATTATTGGGCTTTTGTTGTGTAAAGAACGGCGGAGGAAATGGTGCTATTGGTAGGGCCCCCATTTGGTGTTGTTCGCACCTATTTTGCGTTTCATCTCTAACTTTTTTGCGGAGTCTATTTTGAAGTTTATGTAAAGTACATGTGACCCTTTATTTATTGACCATTTATTGACCATGTGACCCATTTATTTGACTCATTCTAGCCAAATACTTCGGTTTGTTGAGTGGACCCTCATCATCAGCTTAACTGGGTTCAATGTGGATTTCTGCACCTCAGATCATATCCGTTGACGGGTGATTGATTGCTGATAGCATCGAGAGAGCAAAAAAATGGCTGAGAAAAAACAAAGCAGGGGTCTCGATTGGTGTGGTGGATAGCGGGTGAGTGCTGGTAAGAGTAATCGCGGGCTCAAATCGTAGGCTTCAAAAAATAGGAAGCAAATGAAAGTTGCAACTTCGATTTATTTTCAAGCATTTGGTATTTGAAGTTGCATATATTTGCATCATCAATAATCGTGCTAATCACTATGTAGCTACAGCGAGCACTAGCAAAGTACCTATTCTTTCAATATAGCGTGCCACAGCTAGTCATTGTACTCCACTAACTGGACAAACAGCAACGGCATAGTACTTTTAAATTGAAGGTGATGATGATGAGATATTTGGGAAAATCCGGACCGCTGTTGTCTGCGGTGGGGACCTAACCCACTATCACCCTTTCCGGAGGCTAACGTGTTCACCACCACACTATGCGTATCCTTCGTTTCGCCTTTTTCTCGGCCGTGTTATTAACCTATGAGTGCATAATAGCACTTATTTTTACGTCTGCTAACGACAAAATGACCATCGTAGCTCGTCGGCACCTATTCTGGCTGTCCGATTTCCGCGTTGGCCTACCACTGTGGTCGGGCTCTTGTTTGGGATGGGTGATCCGTGATGCGGGGTTTGCTGGCGGGGTTGCGCCACTGAACGGCGTTGGTCGTCTGTGACGAACCACTTTGGCTACGCCGTTCTTCCAGTCTGTGGGTTTTGTGGGCTGGACCTCAGCCTAATGCAGCCTTTCTTGTCGTCTCAAATAATCAGATGGTAATTAACTTCATCACTGGTCATCGTGATCAACGAGCAACCAAGACCGTCGAATAAGCGCTTCGTATAAAACACGGGTTTGCACTTTAAATACAAAATGAGTGTATTTCAGATTTTTCATCACTTTCCGAGGCAAACGCATGAAAGATGTGGGCTTTTAAACGACTACGAAAATTGGGCAAAAAATTCGATTCAAGCGCAATCAAGTTTGAATTTCGTATGGTTTTCAATTATACTATAGTTATTTAAAATCATCAACACTTGTTTTCTGTGGTGGTCTTCCTCAAATTTTCGTATAACTACAGGGGGAAATGATGATTGTAAATCTTCATAAGAGTAATTTATGGGGCAGTTTTTATAAAAATATTTATTAGTGTCAAAGACGGAGAGGAAACTACTAACCGCGCAATAACAGGCATCTGCACAGTAAATGTGAACCGTAACTGGAATCAGGGCCC